ACACTAAAGAGGGCTGGGGAGATAGCTCAGCGGTCTAAGCACCTGCTTGGCAAGTGCAAGGATCTGGGTTGGATCCCCAGTACCGCATGCCGTGCCGGCCCTGGAACCCCAGGCACACTGTGCCAGCCACCAAAACCAGGCATGGTAGTGCATACCTGTAATCCCAGCACTGGGTAGGCTAAGACAGGAGGATCCCTGAGTCTGTGCCATGTAGCTAGATCCTATACTAAATTGATTTTTTTTTTTTTTTTTTTTTTTTTTTTTGGCTGATTCAGGTTGCCTTAAGGGCAGGTCTGGTAATGCAGGTGGAGGTGGGGATTGAACCATGGTATCCTGTTTCTGACTGCATTTGCATAAGCAGGCTTTTAAACAACTGAGCTAACCAGCAGGCCCTGTACCAAATAAATAAGATTTTTTAAAAAGCTAAAGAAGTATAGGACATATTTCCATTTAGTACAGTGAGCACTAAATGCCTGGAATATCGTTTCATAGAGATATCCAATAGAGGTTCTGTTCTATCCTGTCGCTTTACTGTCTAGAAAGAATCAGTAAGATCCTTGCCAAGTATTTCAGAGCTGTTATATTGTGTGCTGTAGAAAGAATATTAAGGGAAACAGCTGTACACATTCTGATTTTTCACTCTTTCACTTGTGGGCAGGTGGAGTATAGGCAAGTACTGTGGGAAGCTGCAGCCTCTCTGCCCCTCGGAAGTCTGTTACTGTCACCTTTTCCCATTGGCTGGCTATTCCAGACCTGTTGAGTTATCAGGCATGCTGAAGTATAGTGGGCGTCTGGTGGATCAGTATCGTAGGAAACTGTCAACAGGGCCCGAGCCCTACAGGGTTAAGGCCAAGCCTTCTGGAGACCAGGCAAGGCCAGGAGAAACCACCCACAGACAGTTTCAGCTGCGGCCACTGGGGACCAAGCTGGGGCCTGGAGGTACAGAGCTACTTGGAAAGGAGCTTGTTATGGAAACCGCAGTGTGGTTGTCAGAGGGGAATCCAGTCAAGGCACCTGGGGTGCCAGGGGCACTGAGCAGGACTCTTCAGGTGCAGGTGTGGACAGCTTAGGGAACAAGTACAGGTGGCTTATGTTTTTACAGCTCAGGGAACAAAGTGAGTTGCAGTTGTAGCAGTTGAGGACTTTTATGTAACTGGATCATTAAAGTGTTACACATTTACTGTTGCTGATAGAATTTTGGTGATACATATGGCAGTAGTTACCTGGAAGCTGGAAGGAACGTGAAAGACAGTGACACTCAGCTCCTGTACAAGTGAAGTTCTAGAGCCCCTCAGTCGTCCTGAAAGTGAACACATGACTTTTCACCCATTGAATACCATGGTATCTCTCTGAAAATAGTGCTTTTTCTTTTTTTGTCTTTAAATCTTAGCCCTGCCCAAATATTGCATGCTGTGCAATCAGGGACTTGGCCAAGACCCCCAATTGCCTGTATGAGGGGTACGGAGAAGAGTGAAATAAGACAAATTTAGTAATGCATACTAAGGACTGGTAGGTGTGTGCCTCAGGGTGGGCAGAGAGAAGGGCCTCCAAGGCAGCCACTATTAGCCGGTGTGAGGAAGCAGTCTGGGTGCTTTTCTTGAGACTGTAGAAGCAGTGGTAGTAAGGGCAAGTTGAGCATCATACAGAGAAGGAGCCAAGATCTGTCCCCACACTTAGGTGCTGCATTCCAAAACCAGCCCACAAGGCAGGCAGGGTAAGGAGGGCCTAGAACATACTATGTCCATTTACAACTCCTGGTCCCCAACTCTGTGTTCTAAAATCATCGAATTTGGGATTTGAGCATCTCAGATCCCTTACACAAACGTGAAAGAAAGTAGGCAGAGGGGGGCCGGGGACATGGTTCAGTAGAATAAGCACTTCCCTCAAGCGCAAGGGTCTGAGTTCAATCCCTAGTTCCACCAAAAAAAAAAAAAAAGCCAGAATGGGTCCCTGACAGATGTAGAAGCTGGTTTTCTGAAAAGGGCCCAGGAGCTGTCCCCAGCCCCTCTTCCAGCGCTAGTGTTAAGCAATAACTGCAGTCAGTGTCAGTGGTGGCTAAGTGTACACTGTAATGTTGGGGTCCTTGATGTGCACATATTATCTCTATGAGGCGAATGTTACAATGAGGAAGACACTGAGGTGCAGACAAGGAAAGGAATCTCAAGTGGTGGTGGTGGAACCAGCTCTCAGACCCAGAGAGACTCTGAATTTCTAGGGAAGCGCTTTTTTTTTGGGGGGGGGGGCAGAATGGAACCGGGGATTGAACTCAGTCCCTTGCGCTTGCCAGGGAAGCGCCTATACTGAGCCATCTCCCCAGCCCCGGGACTCTGAATTTCTGTGCAGGTGGTAGCCAAGAGCAAGATCAAAGCACACAGCTACCCTTTGCAATATAGCTTTTCTAAAATTAAACCAGAGTTCCCCAGCTGGAGAGAGCAAGCGCGGCTGCAGGCGCGCGGGGAGCAGAGGCGGTGGTGGGCGGCGGCTGCCCCGGAGCCGCCTAGTGCCCCGCCCCTCCGGTCCCCACCCATCCAGACCCCCGCGGCCCGTGCAGCCCCCGGGACCCCGCGCTCTGCGCCTCCGCCCAGCTCGCGGCTCCGCCCCGCCTGCCCACCGCCCACCTCCGGGCCACGGCCCCTGCGCCCACTAAGACGTCCGCAGCCACCGGGACAGCAGCGGAGTCTAAGAGAGCGCAGCCTGGACACCGGACTGCTTACTCGCCTTGCTGATTGTCTATTTTTGTAAGTTTACAACTTTTCTAAGAACTTTTGTATACAAAGGAACTTTTTAAAGAAGGCGATATTGCCAGTTTATATTTAATCCAAAGAAGGACTTTAGGCATTTTTGGGTTTGAGGGTCTTGACTTCGTTTCTAAGTTTTTTTTTCCCCCCCTTCGTTAATTCTGGACTTCGGGTATCCCTGCTGCTTCGGGCTCCCGAGGATCTTCTGGGCCCCATATTAATGAGGTAAGTGAGGTGCGGACCTGCGGGGCGTCCCGGGGCGGTGGCCCAGGCTGCCCCTGACTCCCGCCTCCCGGGCGCCCTGCCCGGCCCGCAGGCAGCCACCTGGCGAGTCTGACATGGCTGTCAACGACGCGCTGCTCCAGTCCTTCTCCACGTTCGTGTCCTGCCCGGCGGGAAGGAAGAAGACACTGCGTCCGGCAGGTGCCCCGAATAACGTGAGTCGCGCAAGAGCCCTGGCTGGGTTTCTGCGGGTGGGATGGGAACGGGCGGAAGCCACAGCTCAGCAGGCCAACGCACGCGGGGAAGGGGCGGTCGTCACCCCGAGTCCGCAGCTTTTTTGAGGTGGCTCGGGGACCCCGCCTCGGCTGTAACGCGCGCGTGGCCCGGGTGCTGTGGAGCTGCTCGCGTAGGGCTGCTCACGTAGGGTCTTTCCGCGTCCCGGGCGCGCTGGCGACTAGAGTGGGCGCTCGCGGCGCACCGGCTGGAGGGCGGCTAAATCCTGAGGCACCAGACGGCCCGAGAGGCCACCAAGTAGGCGGCCAGAGGCGAAGGCTTAGCGGAGAGCTCGTGCCCCAGTTCCCGTGACGGCTGCGGCCGGTGTTGGTCCAGCCTGCAGCGCTGGCACCAGCGTCCCCGGGGCGGTCTGCCGCCGGTGCGCCGACCGGGCCCAGTTAGGACGTCGGGTGGTGATCGGGACCGACGCTCACAGCCTGTCTGCCCCTCGCCCTGTCCCCACAGCGCTGGCGGGAGGAGCTCTCTCACATGGAGCGACCTAATCCAGGGCTTCCCGGCCGCCCCTACGACCTGGCGGCGGCGACCGTGGCCACGGACCTGGACGGTAGCGCGGGCGCGGCGTGCAGCGCTGGCTACGCAGCCCACCTACCCCGCAGAGAGTTGGAGGGGTTCAACGACCCTCTGGACCCAGAGTTCATTCTCTCCAACTCATTGTCGCACCAGGAGTCCGTGGCCGCCACCTTCTGCTCCTGGGCGGCAGCCTCGTCCTCGTCCTTCCCGTCGAGCAGCGGCCCGGCCAGCGCGCCCTCCACCTGCAGCTTTAGCTACCCCATGCGGGCCGGGGGCGACACGGGCGTGGCTCCGGGCGGTACCGGAGGCGGCCTGCTGTACGGCCCGGAGTGTGCGCTCCCTCCCGCGGCGCCCTTCAACCTGGCGGATATCAACGACGTGAGCCCTTCGGGGGGCTTCTTGGCCGAACTCCTGGGGCCTGAGTCGGACCCGGCGTACATTCCACCACAGCAGCCGCCGCCAGGTGGCAGGCTGATGGGCAAGTTTGTGCTGAAGGCGTCGCTGAGCCCCCCGGGAAGCGAGTACGGCAGTCCTTCGGTCATCAGTGTTAGCAAAGGCAGCCCGGATGGCAGCCACCCGGTGGTGGTGGCGCCCTACAACGGCGGGCCGTCGTGCATGTGCCCTAAGATCAAGCAGGAGGCGGTGTCGTCCTGCACCGTCGGCCGGCCCCTGGAGGCCCACTTGGGCGCTGGACCGCCGCTCAGCCACGGGCACTGGCCCAGCGCACACGACTTCTCCCTGGGGCAGCAGCTCCCGACCCTGGGTCCCGAGGAACTGCTGAGCACCAGGGACTGTCACCCTGCCTTGCCGCTTCCTCCTGTCTTCCATCCCCATCCGGGACCCAACTACCCACCCTTTCTGCCCGACCAAATGCAGCCGCAGGTCCCACCGATTCACTACCAAGAACTCATGCCACCTGGTTCCTGCCTGCCAGAAGATCCCCAGCCAAAGACGGGAAGAAGGTTGTGGCCCCGGAAAAGGAAGGCCATCCACGCTTGCCATTATGCCGACTGCGGCAGAATCTATACAAAGAGCTCTCATCTCAAGACACACCTGCGAACCCACACAGGTGAGAAACCGTTCCACTGTGACTGGGACGGCTGTGAGTGGAAGTTTGCCCGCTCAGATGAACTGACCAGGCACTACCACAAGCACACGGGGCACCGCCCCCTGCAGTGCCAGAAGTGCGGCCGGGCCTTTTCCAGGTCGGACCACCTCGCCTTACACACGAAGAGGCACTTTAAAACCTCAAAGAAGGGCTGGGGAGGTGGCTCAGTGGAATAAGCGCTTCCTTGGCAAGCGCAAGAACCTGAGTTCAATCCCCGGTTCTGCAAAAAAAAAAAAAAAGAAAGAAAAAGACCTCAGAGTGACACCACCCGCACTGCCAGGAGAGAATTTAGTATTTTTTTTTCTCCCCAAAACCCTTTCACACTGTCTCCCCAGAAGGGGAGGCGTAAAGCTGGCAAGGACTACAATCATGGTCAGGTTCCCAATAAGTCAGCCTGTAAGTGGATCATCAGGAGAAAGGAGAAACCCAAAGGACAAAAGTCAAAGAACAGATGGGGTTAGATCTGAAAACCACAGTGGCTTCCATCCCCATCCGGGACTGGATCTTCTATCATTCCAATTCCAAATCTGACTTGACCATGCCCGGACTTACAAAACGCCATGGGAGAGACTGGAAGTTGGGGATATCAGGGTATAAATCAGATCTGAGTGTGGGGAGGGCAGGAGGACCAAGATTTTCTTGAATTGTTTCAATGCAATATAAGTATAAAGATCACCCTGTATTCTCTTTGCCTTCTAAAAGCCACTAGTATGTTAGAAGAGGAAGAAATTCAGGTACAGAAAACGTGTTTTAATCACCTACGTGATGGTGCTCGATGAGTCTTGGTTCTAAAGGTACCAAATGAGGAAGCCAAAGTTCTTCTCAAACTGCTGCACATTTTTTTTTTTTTTTAAGTGCAGAAGGTTTCTTTCTTTTTTTTTTTTTTTGTAGCTCCCCATTGACCTGCAGCAGCGCTGGTCTGGGTTGCCTTGAGTATGTGGGAATGGAACCAGCGCTCAAAGAAACTGACTGGCTCCTTTAAGCAGGCACTTCAAC